AACAATATACAAAAATATTTTATAAACTTTATAGAAATTTGATAATGGAATGCAAAAGAAATAATCATAGATGAACTTATTCAATAAAATAAATAAAAAGCAAAATTTGAAAATTGATATTATGTTTTCAAAAACCTTACAAATAGTGATATAGATTTATTTAAAATTATCATTATGTTTAAAATTTTTAATGTTATTATTACTAATGTTAGCATACATAATATTTAAAATTTTTAATGTCATCTATTTAAATATTATTCCTATTAATTTTTATATGCAAATGATTATTAAATGTACACTTGTACATTTACAATCTTGTTTTATAGTTAAAGTAACTGTAATATATTAATTTAATTCCATGCATCACCGTAGTTAAATCTAAGATAAATGAAAGACTTATCTTTAGTACATAAAATGCTAATCACTCATTTTGTACAATATAGTATATTAAATCAAGTTCACTACTTTTTTCATTTATTGCTTACATTAAGTGCAATAATGAACACTCTTATATGAGGTGACTTGAAAAACAGGTTGAATAATTTAGAAAAACATAATAGGAGAGAGTCAGTGAATTGCGAACACCTAAGGAAAAAGTTGAATAAAACAAAATATTGCAAAGGTAATAACTTTGTTATTGTTTATATACAAAGGCATATTATCTGTTTACATAGTTTTATAATCAACTTTAACAAAATTTAAAAATAATGCTAATTTTTAATAGGAAAACCAAACCATTGTCGTTCGTGATGTCCTAAATGTCGTGGGGTAATCACGAACACTACTTATTTGTTTATAAAAGTCGCTTAAATAGCTTCTAGATGTGCTCTGACCATCACTGCACTTTTGCAACAATCGTAACACATAATCCAATCTTCAGTTGGAGGGTTCTCATACTTTTTTTTACAATAAATACAATAATATTCATCTTTGTCATTTTCAGTGTTAACTTTCTTTTTCTTTATTTTATTTTTCTTTCTTGGTATTTCTTCTTCTGTGTCTCTATTTTCTCTTGAAAATTTTCAAACTTTCTCACTACTTTACTTCTAGTCAGTCATTCGGTATCATGACGAACGTTCGAGATTGCCCCACACAATTCGTTCGTCATTACCCTATAAGGTGAAAAACGAAAACAACAGAGAGAATTTTAGGTTAAAAACATGAAATAACAAATATACTGGTTTTAAATTATTCCTCAATTTGTACTTTTTGTGTTTTTAAACATTAGTGTTAAGATAATTATAAATACAAAAGCTATAAGTACTACAGAAAGCTACATTTTCTTCAAAATATTAGATGAAGAGGAGCAAAAATCTTCAATAATTTTTACCTCGAACTTAATTTTATTTGTTATTCATGAATAACGAATAATTCCACATTACATATTCTTAATTTAAGACGATCTAACATTTGTCGCGCGCTTCCCTAGATAGCCACCCTGTGCCAGTGCGTTTGTTCACGATCGTGCGCGGATGAGTCTCTACGCTCCCGTGCCTGAGCGCGGGCTCTACACGTGCTCTGATTGGCCAGTGTCTTTCGTTAATAATTCAAAAATGAAGCTTCAACCAACATTTTGGTAAAGGAAAAGTTGTTCAGAGTCACCCCAGCAACCCCCCATTTTCGGGTGTAACACTCTTTACGAAACACCCTGTATGCGAATTCGCCATTACTCTGTGTTCGTTTCCCCGACTCTCCCCTATTATCAAAACAGAGAAAAAATTCAAACTCTATAGTTTTTGAAATTAAATCTAAAGGATATATTAGGCACTTTATCTATTAAATTGTTATGTATATTAAATTACTATACATCATCATGTAGTAATTATATTGCAATATTTACTTATCTTGCTCAGATTGTTCATAATTCCCTTTTTCCATAGAGATTCCAATTTTATTAAAATAAAGGGTAGACACAACATCTTTTGTAAAAAATTAAAATAAAATTCTAATTTCAAATAAATACATATTGTAATCTTGATATGCCTTTTATAGAATTAATTTAGAAATTCATAGCTTTGCTTCTTTTAATAAATATTAGTGTGTAGTAGGATATATGGAATGGTAGGATATTCTTTGGTATCTGGGAAAAACACACAAAAGTTTATTTACTTTTCGTCGATACATGTTAAATGTTTGGTACCAAATAATTTTGAACAAGTCAACGTAGTGTTCGAGCTGTTGCTTGACACAGGTATAGCTCTCGTACTCTCCAATCACAATATTATGTAATACGCGTGAAGTGAATTATAACAATTATTGTGGGAAGGCGTCCGATGAGCCTCCTGTACTCTACTCTTTGGAAGGCGACCGGCGGATAGTCCAGCCGTTCTCTCCATTCCAAGAGCGACCCTGGTATAGCTCTCGTACTCTCCTATCACAATATTTAAGCGATACGTGTATGATCGGAGAATCCACCCGCACTTCTCCTGGTAGGCGACCGGTGGATAGTCCAGCCGTTCTCTCCATACCACCAGAAGTACTAAGCAATCCTCTCCGAGCTTCCTCGGGCGTCCGGTAACCTCCCTGTACTCTCCTCTCTCAGAGGCGACCAGTGGATAGTCCAGCCGTTCTCTCCATACCACCAGAAGTACTAAGTCACAAGCTAGTTTCTTCTAGAAGCTTCTATCGCTTCGCGATTATTTGGCTGACGACGAGGATAGAGAGTCGTCCCTCTCACTTCCTCTCGCGAAAATGGAATTTTTTCGGCGTCTTCGTTGCTAGTTGTTACAGTGTTTAAATTGTTTTTTGTTTCAAATTATCTGGTAAAAAATTTCTGTATAAATGAATAGCATTATTTATTTATTACTAATAGGATGTATGAAGTATGAAGCAATTTTGTAGAGTGGTTTTGATAATAAGAAAAAGAATTATATACATATAATGATTGTATAACTGATATATGCACACATAAAGTTGTAGTACCGAATTTATAATTAATACAACAAAAGAGTAGGTTGATCTTATTTATTTTGTACATTATAATTTAATAATTTATCTTAAATTCAATAACATGTCAAAATAAAGTTTATATCCATAGACGCGAATATTTTGAAAGTTAAGGCTCGATACACATTATCGTGCCGTTCCCAGTCCGGTGTCGGTTCGGCAGACCAAATTTAAATATTTTTCAACAAAAAAATTTGTAATCATTCTTTAAGGACAAGTAAGTACATAGGAATAAAGCTCATGTTAATAACTGTTACTAAACTTCTATAATAAATTAACAAAAAAGGCCTAAAGAAACGGCTGTCACACTAGATTACCCCCTTAACCCTTTGTAGTCCTATGTCAAGTTGGATTCGACGTAAAAATTTTTGCCTTCAGATATCATATAATGATAAATTATAAATTATAAATGATAATAAACCATTTTTTTATGCATTAATATTATTCTGAAACTTAGTATTTTATAACTAATATTACGCTGAAATATTGAAATAAAGGGAAACTACATGGTATTGCCCGAGAGTGCCCAAATGAATGCGGACTAACTGGACTATTTTGTCCGCAAAGTGTTAAAGACAATCGGGAGTCGTTAAGCAATTTCATCTAAAACGGATCGTGACCGATTCGATAGTGTGAATACTCAAGGATGTGATTAAACCGAGAACGGACTATGACCGGACCAGGAACGACACAATAGCGTGTATCGGGCTTAAAACTTCAAAATTTGATAGTGTTGTTACGCTATCGCGTGAACATAGCTTTAATCACTTATTATGCATGTTCATGAATATAGCTTTAGTATGGTCTTAGCTTAGAGAAATCGACACGTACATCTGGAGCGTAATTTGAATTGTCAATAATGTATGTTTTACAAACATAGAATGTATTTGGAAATCGTCCAAGGGTTCGATGCGTGGTATGGCGATGGGAAAGTTAAAACTCGGGAACGGAAATGTTTTGTTTATTGTACTCGAAGGATTTTATTCAAAGACCGTCATCAATCGACAGTTTAGCTTGTCGAATCCTGGACCCTTTTTGCCCTTAGTTCCCAGGCATCCAGGTCTTCACTCCAACTCATCCCTTACCGATTACTGTCGCTGCGTTTCCACTTTTCCGCTAAATTCCTGACTTATTACAGAAGATCTTCATCTTATGCACCCAGACCATTTTCTCATCGAGTCCCTAACTTTGTCACCTGCAAACCCTCTCATTACCCCTACATTCTTTGTTTATTATATTTAATTTTGAGGTCTTTGCAAATTTCGTCATTACGTATGTACCATGGTGCATTTGTTATTGTTCTAAGTATTATGAATTGTAGCGCTTCCAATTTAGAAATATGTATGGCTTTTGGCTACTTTTACTAGTAAGCCATTGTATATTTTTCCTTTTAATTTGGATTTGGTCGATCTTCGTGCGTAGCTACAGTGACTGAAAAAAGTATTCATACACTTTATAAAATGGAATAACTTTTTTAAAATTGGGCCAAACGACTTGAGTTTTTTTGAGAAGTTAGAAAGCTTAGTTTACTAGATGATGTGTAAAAAACTTTTTAAAAAAACTGCAATTAGTCGGAATCGCGAAGAAAATAGCGAAGGTCGTTTTTACAACTTTTTTATCTGAGCTCGTAATGAAAATTAAAAAAATACTTTTTGTAGATCTATGTCAATTATACACACGCTGAAAATTTCATTGAAATCGGTGGATGGAGAAACAAGCGACAGGCATCGAAAGATGTAAAAATCTGCAGATTTATTACAGTTCTAGGCCGAAAGTCGTGAAATAGTGAAGAAAGTTTCACAATCTTTATCCGTTTGTAGCTCATAGCAACATTAACCGATTTCTTAAAAGTCTCGATTTTTGACGCAAAAAGTTCTATTTCCAAGTGTGATTTG